AACCCAAATAATTTTACCTGTTACATACAATAATACACCCCACTTAAAAATGTAACCCCATAACCCAATGGAGCACGCAGACTACACATTGATATTTTACACTCTAGCCAAGCTTGCTCAACAGTTGGGGCATTGTTTACGTCATTCAATATTATTAAATGATATCAACCACAAGGGAGCTTCGTTCTTATCATTTGTCTAACAATTTATTGCCATAATCAAACAGCCACTAAAAATGTGTTAGAAGTTAATATTTATTATCTTAAATCTCTTATAAATCTCAACCAATAAGCCAAACAAGGAAATAGGATTACAGAAGTTTTACAGTATTTTAGATTAGGTAATGAGATAAATATAAATAAAAGATTAATATTACACCAATTCTAACATAATGTATTTTAATGTAGGTATGTGAAATTAAAAAAAAACTTTAAAAAAGGTAACCTTCGTCTCGATATTTTCGTTAAAACCAAATATTTGTTATCTATAAATCGTAGATGTTAATGTATTGTTTAAAAAATGCGTTGCTACGCGGTTCAGACGCAGATACTGAGCCTCGGGCAAATAGGTACGTTGGCAATCTCCCAAAGATTATAAACAGCAGCGGACGCCAACGTACAAGCGTTATTATACGCAGTTTAAACAACGCAAAAAACATTTCTAAGGAAACAGATATTTCATTCTTCATATCCAATAAACGGTATAAAAAAACGTATAATGTAGGTATTAACCGTTAATGTATGCAGTTCTAGTTAACACGTAAAGCTATAAAAATTAAGTATGTATTTGTATTAAAAGTAAAACTTATAATAAAAGCTTACAAGTCCCAAAAACGTCAAGTTCTTACCTCAAATCACTATCACTCAAGCAGGGTGCCATGATGCGCCCAAAATCCCTGCGATACTACTCCACGGAGTCCTCCGGGTCTGAAACGAGTTAACATTATGTATCAGCCTGCGAATATAATAAAGAATGTTTGGAAGGCACCATACGATTGTGCAACTATCAAAGAGCTTTTGTTTGCTAAGAGCCTTCGAGGCTTTGACCGTACACAGTTCAAAGTTACTTCAATTACATTAGGGGTTTCAAAGCTATACTTAAAAGTTCAAATACATACATTTTTTAAAGTTTCCGTTCCTATAACATAACCAACTATAATATAATTACTAATTATTAAAGGAATATTTGAAGTTTTATTTATTTACTGGATGACCACGCTCTAACACTGCATATGAAATTGTTGCACAAATTCAAGATTTTTTGTGGATTTTAGGGGATGATGTGAAGTGAACGACTACCTGAGTCCCGGACCGGTTTTAAACAGATGCTCTATGAGTTTTTACGGCAAAAAGTTTTTAGTGCCCAATCCCACAACTTTGTTCTAGAAAATTACGACTTCATGAAATATTGTTAACACGATATTTTCGAGCTAGCTACTTTCACACAATCAAACGTGGGTGTGTAAATGAGTAGGTAGTAAGAATTCTCGCGGCACTTTATGTCACGTTGTATTGGTAATGTCACTGTGAATCTTACAAACTGGTGCTTTGTGCAGCAACGAGTCAAGGTAAAAATTTCTTTATGAAATAGATCATAGATGTACCCTATTGCGTGCAGCGTCGCTCTACTGCCTGCAGCGGAAGTGTAGCGTGGCTTCGTGAGTTTTTTGAGGACCTCACATCCGCATCATTAAAATGCACAATTCTCTCGTGTTTCTCTCAATATTTTCGATATTCACGCTTGCACTGTTTAATAATAGAATATTTAAACCACAATATAAACCGGTTATATAAACAACAATGTGTTAAAGACCGTGACAATTGAAATACGAATAGACTCCGTGTGAACACTTCTCCACCTCTCATTACTAACATAACCTATAATCACAATATGAAGTAGATGTCACATTAACTACGGCTATTTAATTTGTACAATGCCGCTGTTTTTAATTATCTACCAGAGACTACAGTTGATACAGTTTACACGAGGAAGCTAGAAATTAATATCATCATAACTGCAAAACCGACTGTTAAGGAATATATTTCGATAGAAAATCTCTGTTGAATTAATTTTTCGTTGATATCATTCAATCGTTGAACCAATTTAATACTTGTCAATCTTGATTTTTATTTCTATCACTTATTGATTGACCACTCATTGGTATGCAATGGTTTGGCATCACTTTTTATCCTATGATCCTTGGAAAATCAAAAGTTAAATTAATTTCGTTATCTTAATTCGCTACATTATAATAATTCTTATATTTTATGTACAACACAAAGAAATCACGCGAAAATACATTCGCTCTTTCGCCCTTGATTGCTTACAACTTCGTTCACCTTACTCTTGAATCACATTGACAACCTTGTACTTTCTCAGTTATATTCAAAGTTCTACGTAGTAACATCGTCTATGGATAATATTATTATGTGATGCTACAGTACTATAAAACTAATAGTAGGTACGTATAAATGGTTTATTTAAATGAAAACATTTTATTCCAAGTCACGTACAATACTACTTCACGTTTAACCATTGTTATGGACAGAGGACTTGGCTCCTTACGCTGGCCATTGACGGACCGCACGTTGCAGCCGATACCGACTGCTCTAAGCGGTCGCCGCACGGTGATCTGCAGTTTCACTAAATTCATATCCGCAATACACGGGCCGCTCGAGCAGTCCCTGAGCGGTCGGAGCAGTCGCTCTGCGATCGAGTTTCGCCGTGTGGTCGACTGCTTAGAGCTGCCAGACCCACCATACACGGACCGCTACAAGCGATTGCTGCCGCCCGCGCGTCACTCCCTCAAATAAAATAAAATACTAACTAATTCATCAAATGAAACCACGGACAGTCTAAAGTAGTTAAAAAACTTTTAGTGTCTTCTCTCAGCTGGTGATACAAAGTATGAAATATTCCATGCTGTTCTCTTGATTGTAGTATTGGACGCACCCACATACTACGGTATCTTCTACGCCTACGCTTGCGTAATAGTAGTACAAGTAGCGGTGTTTCTTCATCGAAATCCATCTTGTAAATGAACTCGCATCACTATTATTTTGCGGTCGAACACAACTGCTCCATGCAGTCGTAGTCGACTGCATTATGCGGATCGTGTTGAAGTCGTGTACGACTTCAACGCGACCGCTCTACAGCAGTCAGCAGCGGTCCGTCTACGGCCAGCTTTAGTCTTATAAAATAAATCAATTAAAAATTAAATCTTCTTTTCTAATGGGCTAGCATTGTTTTGTAACCATAATTATTTTACTATTGTTTATGTTTTAATAGGTTTATTTTTAAAATGAAGATGTCGATTTCATTGATGTTACATTGACTGTTATTAAAACATATATTTTAAATGAAAGAATACCAACGATATATTATTTACGAACCAATATTGCACTGAAATGTCATGTGAATGTTGTTAATTCAGGTTTTCTCTAGATACGAGGCGGAAGAATTATTTATAACTTCGTACTTATATCCAATGTTTTGTAGATTACAAATTTATATGTAAACAAAACAGATATCGTATCTTAGTGCAAAATCAACAGAAATTGTTTATTTGCGAGCGTTATGAAAAGTAAAAACTTTATAAGAAAAATAAGAGGTCACTAATAAAAACAAACTATTATTTTTTTGGCATTATATAATAGTTATTCGACTTTATTACGCAAAAATAAAATTTTACAAAAATATGTATGACTCCAAATACCCTTTTAAAAGAATTTATTTATACTTTTTAAAATTCTATTTGTTGTAAAAGACCATTTGGTGATTTTATTTATTAAACAATTACATTGAATTAAGTTCAAGCAATGCACTTCACTTTTGCAGCAAACTCGACAATTATGGGGTTGTGACACACATACTCATTCCCCTACATACACGACTGTAACGGAACGAACACCGTTATAATCGGTACCGTTTAAACAGTATGTTCCCATCTTTAAACGTTACTATGCCTAATTGTATTATTTTAAGACAGCTAAACCTATACTAATTTCTAGAAGACAAAAACTTTCGCTAAGGCTAAATATTGTATGAATCGAAAGTTAGGAACTTGATGGCATTTTACCATTCCGCAAAAAATATGCGCGAGAGGAAAATTCAAGAGGAAAGCTATCGCTTCATTGGTATGTTTGCGTGTAAAATCTATATCGTTACACCCCATTTCACAGCTGGCCTCTCAATAACACAAGTATGGCAATTGAATTGAAAACACTGATTTTCACCACCGGATGTCCTTAAATATTATCCCACATATAAATACGTATACTATGCAAATAATTTCGTAGTAATTTTGGTAACAATTTTTTGTGTACATCAAACACGGGCAAACAATTTTATCAGTGCCGATACGACGCCATTAGTGAATGAGAGGAATTGATAACGACTTGTCCGTTGGAATGCGCACAAAGGCATATATAATGCGTAGATGGCGTTTTCCCCAGTCGCCATTTATACCACATGACTCCTCTTGTATAAATTAATTGATAATACATAATAGTATATTGGTTGCACATTCTCTTTCTTAATAAGTTCTATTTTCAGAGAAATTCGGCGTCAAATGTATTGCAGATAAGAAAATTTGCACTATGCCACTCTCATAACTCACTGTTGTAACATGTGTTACCAAAAACAAAATGATAATTAACAGCGTAATAAAAAAAACAGAATAATAAAATTAAGCGATAACTAAATGTCAATATTACACGCGGATTTTATTGGATCTCGAGAGGCCCAGTGAGGAGATCTGGTCATTGGCACGCAAGTCGCGAGGACTTCGGCCACGCCATCTCGTGGCTATAACTGACCTAACACTAGACGCACCTTAACCGCAATCAAGGGTAGTATACACCTGGCGGTCGAAGCCGAGCCGACGCTATTTTTTGTACGGTAAAGTTAGCTATATGACTACAAGTTTATTTTATTAGTGAATGCGCAGATGGCGCGAGCGCAGGGACTAAACCCGCAGCGGGCACTTAATTGTGCACCCAATGTTAATATACACAGAGCATAGAGCGTTGCACCACTCCCTGGCCCCGAGTTGTAAACAAACCAGGCGAGGGCAATGGCTGCCTGCCACTCCTCGCGCTCGGCGAGCCGCCGTGCCGACGACGACGCCATTCAACCGGGAAGTTCACGCTTTATTTTTAGCATTTCACGAAACGAGCAACGCCGCACTAACGGAGCTTGCACGGACGCTCAGTCTTAACGGTGGCATCTACTTCTAGTAATAGTAAGCTTCCAGTGCGAATTTTGTTATATGCAACGTTTAGTAAACCGGGTAGGAATAGCATTATTGACACATATATCGTAAGCTCTATGTAACTTTGAATACAATATTAAAACTATTATCTCACCCAAAACATTGGGTTATAATATTTATAGTGAAGGTAGTAAATAAATAACAAGTTATTGAAGATTTTAATTGCAATATATGCAACAATTGACTAGTTTTACTTTTAGTTTAGTTTAGTTTACGCACAGGTCAATAGCCTTCGCCTGTAACGAGATAAGTTTCACTTAGAACTTTCTTACGACTCAAAATGGTGAAATGGTTGCGACCGTTACGTTCAAACAACGGCATTGACATTGGACAGATAATGATGGATAAGCGAGGCGCGGCTAGGCCAAGAGCGTGGTACCGTTTCCGGGAATTGTCGTCTTCGGCAATGTTGGCGCTGACGGTTATGGTAGCGGCAGTGGACAGGCCTGAGAGTCAATGACCCGAACAACAGAAGGGCGCGGGAGGGTGCGCGCGCACGCAGCCATGCCCCGCCTTTATTTATTACGCTACGCGCGGCGCGTTCGACGCCAGCAACGCGCCACGGGGCGGAGGCCGCATTCCAGGCAGCCAGCCGCGGCCCCGAGCCGTGATCCAAGCATGCTGCTAAAATAACATGCCCGAACCATACACAGATCGACAGACGTCAGCGTCGAGTCACACTCTAAAATAAGTCAAGAAAATTACTCACTTTCAGGAACGATGCGAGCACGTGCGTTAACCTCATGCACCACTGCCACATATGTCTTTCAGCATCACGAAATTCACTGTCCATGTTGAAAATAATTATTAAATTATTTTAAATATAGCGGTCGCGCGACAAAAATTATTATGATCGACACGAAAAGTTCACATGGCGCGCGGGAAGTGTCGTTCCGAATGGATAGAACACGCGTCGTCTTCGATAGCAGTATGACGCATCAGTGAACGCGCGGCGCGACCGTACGTGTGCGCAAGCAGAAGGGCGATGCGGGGAGAGGCTCCCCTCGCCCCGTAGCAGGCACCGTGCTGCCCCCTACCACCGGGCTCATCGACCGCGCTCGCCCTTACCGCGCCACGGCCTACCGTAGGTACTCCGTACTCCCATACCGCTTGTCTTAGGTTGTCAGACCTTTTCAGACCCTGAGCCTGCATAGTTTGGTATATGGAGCCTGTTAAATATTTTTTAAAGCAAAAAATTTAATAATTCGTATTCACATTCATAAAACTGCCACACACCTATAAAATCTGCCATTTGAATATACCTCCAACATTCGTCGACAAATTTTAACCTGCATTACTTAATACGTCAAATATAGTTGGTACTTAAATATTTTATTAAAATAAACTTTACGTTCAACCCTATTTTGTCCTATTTTAGAAAAGTATGCCTATAACAAAAGCCTACGTAATTTTAAATTGCTAACACTGGCCGATATTTTATTATTTGTCAGTAAAATTCAATATTCTTAAACGAATCCAAAAGATAAACACAATTGTCAATCAAATACATTCGTAATAAAAAATAACAAAAAACACCGCAAGTCAAGAATGAATCACACCACACAAAATAAATGAACATCTCACCAGTAGTGCACACCTTAGAAAGCTCCAACATTTTTGCGGATTCAATGAACTACTTTTTTTGTCAGACGTCGCTCGCTGGAGTAAATCGCATTGTAATAAACAAACACGCGATAATGACACCTAATGTCTTTATTTAAGTCTAAATAGTAATTACGAGTTGGCGTTTGAAATCAAAAGTGGTTTAGAGTTTGTAATTAAATGGTTAGACATGTAAACAATGAATATAGAACCAAGAATAATAATTAAATTTTGGTTTGGAAAACGGGACGCTCTCCTAATGATAAGAGATTCCGGCCTGAGGGCGCGGATATGTACATGGTTTTATTTTAAAATCAACTGCAATATTTAGCTTATTCAAGTGCACACCCAAGTAACACGTAATCTGTATATTCACTGAAGTAAAGACTGATTTACGTTTTAAAGTCAGACTATCACTTTAAATCAGTTTTGACTTAGTTTAAATGCTTTTCAGTAGAATGTGGTAAAATTTATAATGCATGAAGCTATTGTATGGTCTAAAAAATAAGGTTAATTGGCTTATAATCATACTAAAACATTAATTACTTTTAATATACAGCACCTTAAACAGCATTTACACTAACACAAAGGTTAAGACCTTATATTAGTAAATAAGAAAACCTAATACATTAAATAAACGTTGTCGAAATACTTTATAGTGAACTTAGATTTATTAACACATTTTTAAGATTAAACGCATTTTTATAATCTTTTCTTATGCTTATTTACAGCTAAGCATTAGCCAAACATTTACTAAAGTTTTAGCTCTGTTATCTTCTTACTTTATTGTTACTTTAAAGCTTTCAGCACTATTTAGATAAATAAAAATTTAATTTTATTACTATAGGTCATAATTTGGCCATAAAACCATGAGTAGTATGATTATTTTCATTTGTGCGTTAGTATATATATATACTCATTAGTAATTTTATGTCGCACGTGTCACGTTGTTGTCATGAATAAACAGTGGAAAAAGACTAAGAGAACAGGTGGAGTAAAGAGAAAGATAAAAATGAAATACTCAAATTTTATATCTGGTTTAAGTAATGAAAAACGTGTTCCAAACAATGATAATCTTGATACACAAAATACAGAACAATCGGTAGTTGTGTATGAGCCAAGCACCGTTCAAGAAGTTCTAGCAAGTGGTTCCGTAGTCGGCCAAGTTATTGAAATCTGGTAATCCTGACATTGCGAGCTGGGTTTCTCTTTGGGCTTCATAAATAGTGGGGCCGGTATCTGTGTCGCTATGCTGCATCATAATTGAAAATTCCTCGTCAGCATCTTCATAGGCTAAAAAACCCGTCCGTTTGACTTTACAAGGCAACACTGACCAATCTGCGCGAGGCTTGGAATTTTCATTCCTTACTAATGCAGACTCATTAGGTCTTTTTTGGATATCGCAGTTGACGCTGGCTTTCCCACCCGCTTGGAACAATAAACAGTTTAGTTGATCCCCTTTCGGTCGTTTGCACAATTTTAAAAGGCATCTGAAAAAAACAATTGAGCTTATTTAGGACTTAATAGAGAAGGTACTTTACCTTAAAACTAAATAAGTACCCGTATAACGCGTGCCCTTAAAACGTATTTACAAAAAGTTCCTTTAATTACAATGTGCGAAAAATAAGATTATAATATCGTGTTTCAATTCACTAGGTACTTTTATGTAGTGGCACGCTTAGCGTAGGAGTATACCTACCTTAGTAGGTAATCTACCTTATTATTCCTTTCCTATACACACTACAACTAAATTGGTACCTGTAAGGGATCGTGATCACGCCGGTGTTTAAATTAATTCAAAAATAAAATACACAATATTTAGCAAATGAGCGCGCGTCGTCACAGGTACAGGAATCAAGTACTACTAATGAATAGAGGTCGTTCTCTTGGTGCAAGTGACGTCACGTTTTGTAGGGATTGTTGTTTTATCGACTTTAAAGGCTGATTTACACGTATTAAGTTGCCAAGTCTTAACTAAATTTTAACTAAATTTCAAGTGACTTAATTTTAAGTAACCGTTTACACGTAAAAATACTAAATAATTAGTTAAACACATTTATTCGCTCAAGATGGACGACCACAGAACAAAATATTATAGGATTTTCTCTTCCTGATTGGGGATTTACTGTATTGTATGCTCCAATACATGATTGTGAAGGTTCTGGGGACTCAACGTAATACGTATTTGAAGAAGGCGAAGGAGTAAAACGGCTACTATTATTCATTGGGGAAGGGGTTCTACTACTGTTCATTAATTGTTGTATACGCATATCGGACAAATAGTTTTGGATATGTTTTTGAGCTTCCAGCGCCGAAAGCAAAAGCATAGCTTTGCAATGACTCCGCCAGCTTATGCTTTTTACTTAAATTTAACTAAATTTTGCCTGTCCAAACGTGTCAAGTGATTAGCCACGCCCACCAACTTAACCGAAAAATAGACAAAATTCTATTCTACCTTGTTTAGTTGCAACTAAATTTTAACTTGCAACTTCTTACTAAATTAACTGTTTACACGGGTTAAGTTACTTAAAATTAAGTTAATATTTAGTTAATTTTTAGTCAACTTAATACGTGTAAATCGGCCATAAGTCGCACGTCCCGTTCGTTCTATTCGGGCACATGATTCAGGGAATTCCCCAACTCATTTATTGTGATAATGATTTTATACTTACACTTGGCAAATTATCTAACTGGAGACAGATAAAATATGAAAGACGTGGAGTAGGGTATCATGTAATTAAGGGATTCTAAATTATTATTTCGGTACCCTGATTAACACTATAGCAATCCATTTTTATGACGTATAAGGGTAATAAACATTATAACATGCCTAAAAAGTGTTACTATAATGCTAAAGATATCACTTAGATATTTTTTATGTAGGTTGAATGACTTAAGCTATTTTTTTATACTATAATAAGACTGACAACATTAAAAGACACTAGTTGAAAGTTTAGAACATTAATATTACATGACGCCATTTGCTTTCTGTTTTCTCGAACATAAAAAATAAAATTATAACACACATATGAATGAAATACTACTTATTATGTTTTTCTTATAAGCGAAGTATCGATAGAAACAATTTTATACGTTAAAATTAATGAAATCGTTAAAAAATTACAAAAGGTCAGCTGATGTCGATTCTAAATTTGTCCCTATTTTTTATTAAAAAGCATTTCTGTGACGGCGCGTGAATTATAAGCCACAAACATATATATATTTTCACATAAGACTAATACCCCCAACTCATTTGCATTCAAAACAAAATAAAATTGATGTTTGTCTTACCTTATGATAAATTATTTTCAATGAAGACACATTAAAACGTCTCCGCACAACACCAATGCACTGCAATACACTAAACGAAATATATATAATCAATTCGGACATATAAGTTACGATAAGTTTTTTCAAATATTTTTATACAAAGAAAATAAAACGTTCAGCCTTAGAATAAAACGTAACTTTGGCATTGTAATTCAAAAAGCTGTATAAAAGCTGTACTAACATCTAAAAAAATGCTTTTTTACATTAGAATATGCTGTCTCACAACTTTACTAATGTCTGTCTTCAATAACATTATAAGCGCTGGTTAGCAGCACTAATAATATTTAAAAATGCTCAAAGCCGTATTATTTGGGGCCCAAATTGAGCTTATATGACACTTATAAACTTATAAACGGCTGATATAGTGCTACATATGCTGCTCATATACTGTTTTGCACGTAAGTCCATGCTGTTGTACGCTTCTTATAATGTTGTTTTGTGTTACTTGGGCAGGCGCTAATTAAAGATTTAAGTTAGCGCCTGGTTGATAGTACCGGTGACCCCAGAGCTGGTGCTTTCCTCGATCAACGAATAAGTATCGCAATACAGCGAGGAAATTCCGCCAGCATGAAAGGTACACTGCCAATGGGACAAATTTTTTTTTTAATTTTGTTTGAATTTTCAATTTCAGCAGTGTTGGCTTAGTAGCTTGACAATCGCTCGTGGGGTGAATAAAAGCATCGTGAGGAAACCGGCATGAGGGTAAGATTCTTGAAATACGTCTAAGTCTTAGTTCGCGCCTCTCTCACCCTCTCCCCCAAGAGTTGACGCTGTTTGTCAGGAACAGAATGCCGATCACCTGCTAGTAGGATATTAGAAAACAAAACAACGAAACACATAACGAAATCTGAGGCAAATACAGGGGGTTGTGGCGCCACGATTTTCTACATTCCTATATAAATACAGCTATTTTTATGACTAAAAACAAGTCAGTTCGTCGTTTAAGGAAAGCTAATGAAACATATAATAGCGACCACCATCCTCCATTACATACAAAAACCAAAAACTGGACAAAAATAAAAAAAAGGCGCTCCACGTCACAACAATTAAAACTTTCAACATAAGATCCCTATCATCCAAAACAAGACAAGAGAAATGGAAATGACGAAGGGAGAATACGATATTCCACGCGTAACACTTCGACGTCCGTCGTTCCACAACCGAGCGTTTTTTAAGGCAGTTTTTGCCGCACACCACCGCTATGTGGAAACAGCTGCCCACTGAAGTATTTCCGAAATAATTCGACTTAGGGTCCTTCAAGAGAGTACCAATTCTTAAAAGGCTGGCAACGCACTCCCGAGCCCTCTGGGATTGAGAGTGACCTGCCCCTGTTCATTAAAAAAAATAATGAAACATAAAAATCTTTAAGCCTTAACGTCACATATACAAATCAAAGCAACTTAGCGGTGTAAACAAACTCTTAAACAGCTTCTAATCAAGTCTTAGTATTTCCATTTAAAATGTTGAAGAATTAAACCGGTTTTTTTAAAATGAATATTTGGTTTGTTATCGTACAACTCGTACCAAAAGGAATGTGGTCTGTTTGAAAATCTCAATTTACGAAGATGAGGTCAACGTGCACATTACGAGGTCCCATATTTTAATGTTTTGAAAAGGGGTGTGTTCAAGCAGTATATGGAATCGTACGAATAAGGACATATATAATAATCATCTGTATGTATT